GTGAGTGCCAGTCCTCGGGTGGAGGTCGGCGGCGGGGATGCTGACGTGACCGCGGCTGCCGTGCGCCACGCTCGCGAGAGAGGGGGCCCGTTGAGACCCTGGTGGTCTGTCACTGTGGGTGCTTGGATATGCTTGGGTGTCCCTGCGCGGGGCCGGTTCGTCTAGGGCTCGTCTTGGAATCTGGAGTCGGGGGGGGATCGGGTCTTTGATCCCCGTGCGTCGTCTTGGTCGCCTGATTCTCCTCCTGATGTTGCTGCAGGTAGTTCACGTGGTCGATCATGTCTTTGGCGACGTCTCTCTGGAATGCCGTCGTTGCAGATGGCGCTGGTGCTCCCTGGTTGCGCCGCAAGCCGACCTCGATGTGGCCGACGACCTCATCGCAGCAGCGTTGCGCACGGTCGTGCGAGATAGCCGCCTCTTGTAGGTCAACGGTGGTTGGGCGCGCCAATATGCTGCACAGTTGGTGGATAACACACTGCGTTAGCACGCCCTGGCTTGCCGTCATGATGAATGGGGCAGGTGGCTCATTGGTCGGATTGCCCTGACTGTTCCGCAGTGCGCCAATGAAGTAATCCAAGATCTGACCGTGCTCGAGTCGGTTTTGCGGATGAGGGCCACGGGTTTGGTTGCACATGGCGTCAAGGTCGATGGTGTTGACCCGGCTGTCCTTGATGATGTTGTCCGTGTGCGTAACTGAACAGCGCAGTGTCGGCGTCGTAGCGGATGCCACTGGCGGTTTCGACCAATCGGTTGATCGCATCGTGCTGGATGCATGCTGTCGTTGCTCCAGTGCGGATTCCATTGGGGTGGGTCTTCGACAGGTGTCTGGGTTCCATCGCACGCAATGGTCATGCCTTCTCTGGTGGTGGGCTTAGCCAGAATCGCTAAGCCAGAATAAGGATACAAATGTGTTTTTGCGCCCGCCCCTCTGTGGGAGGGGGGCTCCCTCCAACAAGCCCATCTCTGAGAGGAGGGCTCGTTCTGTGAGCGGTGCGTCTGGAGACGATAGGAAGGAAGAACCAGACGATGGCGGGAGGCGATCCCGCCATCGTCTGCCGAGAGGCCGAGATTTGCAGGGGCACCGGGGAGGGCAAGTTGCCCGCCCCGGATCTCCAGCGAGATGAGAAGCTCGGGGCCCAAGAGACGGGGCCGATGCAAACGGGGGTCAGAGCGCCCTCCTTGGACCTCTCAGCGAGACGGGGGTCAATGCAAGCGGGATCGCGTCGTGTTGAGGGGCGTGGGGGCCTGCATGAGGCGCGGGCGGCGTTGTTCCGAGGTGCGGTGGGGGGCGGTCTCCCGCCGCGCGACGGTGGCATCGGCCCGCGGGGGTGGTTTGGCGGGTGCTGCTCGGGTCTTCGGGGGGTGACGGCGCTGCTGTCACCGGTCCTGGGGCCGAGCCGTCTGTCGTCGGCCAGCTGGCTCCGAGCGTCGGTTCTGTGGCGCGGGCCACCGTGGGGGTGGTTGCGTCAGGTTGCGACGTCTTGTCGTATGGAGGAGAAAGAACCATGCACATACACCGATTCTGGCCAGGCCCATCCTGAGCCCAGGATCGGTGCATACGCCCTCCTACCTTGGCCAGGAAGGCATATGCACCGATCCTGGGTCAAGGATGGGCCTTGCCAGGATCGGTGCATGTGCATAGTTCTCTTATGTTCTCTTCGCCCGATCGTATCCAGGCGGGGGTGGCGCGGAAGGGACGGCTTAGAATCGTAAGCTGTCGGGGGGCGGCGCCTTTCCGCGGTTGGGTATGTGAGCGCGCGTGCGGTCTGGAACGGTGGGATCCGTCCTCGCTGCGTCGTCGGGGAGTGCCGAGGGCGTGTCCGCTGAGTTTGGATTGGTGGTGGCATTGCGGCGGCTGGTGGGTGATGCCCGGCTGCGGAACGGCGTCGTTGGGAGTCACGGTCGTGCCCCGTGTTTGGACTGGGTTGTCTGCCGTGAGGTTGAACAGGTTGCCAGTGTCCTGCCTTTCTTGGCCTGTCTGCTCTGTGGGCTCTGGGGCCCCTCGTGTGGGAATTGCTTGCGTGATGACTAGGTGCTCGGTCACGTGGTACTGCATGCGGCCGTCGTCAGGGTTTTGCGGCATTGCCGGTGGTGGTGCCGTGTGTCTCTCGTTGATGACCCGCATGATGCCGTCGGGGTGTAGCGAATGCTCGGGCTGGATCTTCATGCTGTCGGTGCAGCTTCCAAGCTCCAGTCTACCTTCGACGGAGTCGCAGAGTGTATCCATGCTCATGTCCTTCATGCTGTTCATGATCGCGTCAAGCTGTTTTTTGTAGATGCCGTTGTCCTTGTTGTACCTGGCAATGTACATGTTCAGGGCCGAGATGTCGAGGTAGACTGAGCGCGCATGTGGCGATGGGGTTCTTCGTTTGGGCGGTGGCGGTGACTGCCTTGCACCTCGAGGTGCGAATGGTGGATTGCGGACAATGCTGCCCTTCCCGTCGTACTAAGCCATTCGCTGGCTACAACCGATATGGACCACTTCCAGCCCGGGAGTAGGATCCGGTTGCTGGGGTCTTGCAGTACGGATGCTGACGCTTGCGTGCTGCAGTGGAAGACCTGGCCGTAGTAGTTTTGTGGGCTTGGTGCTGGATGCACGATCCAGGGGAGCGGGCAGGGCAGCTGGTGAGTCTGGCTGCAGGGCATCCCCGGTTGGATCCCCAGCTCCTGTACCCGCCTTGGCAGTTCTGTTTGACTCCGTATCCTGTGGTCAGGTGGGTATGCTGGTGGCGGTAGGCAAGCTGGTGACGGGGGGTCGCAATGGGTTTGTGGTTGCTGGAGGTCGTTGGGTTGACGGTGGGTCGTCTGTTCTGTGGCATGTATGGGGGAAGTCGTCGGGGGGGTCGCGAGAATTCCCTCCGAACGATCTGGTTACTCTCGGGCATGAACGTGATGACGTCGATGGCCCTGTTATGTGGAACCACTCCTCTGAGCTGTAGGAATACTTCGTGGTCGTCCGTGACGCTGTTGTAATGTTCATTCCGCTTTGCTGTGAGGGCCTGGTGTCCACCTTGTCGTACGTCGTTGTCGATGTGCGACATCAGTGGACGACGATCTCGCATCCGTGGACGATGATCTCCTCTGGTTCTATCCACTCAGGTGCTCTTGTGGTGGTTGTGGGCATCGCACCGTTGTCACTTCGACTGGGGCTACCCTGGTGGGTGAGACCGTAGTGGTGTCGACCTCTCGCTGTACTTCAACGTCAACTGGCTGTCCTCCTCCTCCTCCTGCTCCTCCGTTGTCGCGCTCCGTGTGTCCTCCTCCTCCTCCTCCTCCTCTTCGCATCCCCCTTGCCTCCCCTGACATCCGAGAATACCACCGCGGCCTCAGAGCTCCCGACCCCTTCTCTAGAACTGCTTTGGGGCCCGGATCTACTCTTGATGGCCCTGGGTCCAAAACAAGGTGGTGGGGCGGGGGGATGCCCCATCCGGATGGTAGAACTCTCTGGAGGAGTGCCCTGTCCGCCAGAGGCTCAGAGGAGGGCCCTGTCTGGAAGAGGGCCCAAGGACCCAAGAATGCCCGATCGGGAGGGCGGAGAGCCGCCGGCCCGCCTCCGAAGAGCGTGGGCCCCCCCCCCCCAAGGAGCTCCGACGTCGCGATCTGCTCGCGGCTTCGACCCGCCAGAGGCCCGGGCCCTCTCCCCCCCTGGACCGCCTTTTCGTCCTGGGCCGTCCCTTGGTGGTCCCAGGGCCCCGCGAGGGTCCCCCCCGAAGGCCCACAACGGCCCACAACCTCCAGTCGCGATTCTTCCCCACTGAAGAGGTCCCCCTCCCGTTGGGGCACGGGGCCCAGGGAGGACCCCCTGAAGGCCGAAAGCGGCCCAGGACCTCCCGCCGCGTTTCTTCACGACCGAGGAGATCCCCGTCCCTTTGGGGCAAGGGTCGGCTCACACACAAGAGTGCCCCGAGGCAAGAGTGACCTGTGGTGCGCGACTTCCCAGGGCCGCGGGGAGGCAAAGCACGAGCGCGCAAGACGCTACTATCACATCGCGCTCGGTCTCCTGGGGACCCCAGTGCGCCCGCACCGAAGGTCACTCCGGCGAAAGGTCAATCTTACACGTCGGTGGGAAGGAGTAGGTAAAAACATGAAGTGGGAAGGCGGATCAAGTAGATTGGGTCCAGGCCCTCCCGGAGAATAGCAAACCACAGCAATATCGCATCGAGCATTGAAGTGGGAGGGCGCCTAAAACATATTGGGATCTGTGAATCCAGAAATTGACTACCTACCAGACCACCCCAACCCAACCCGAACACCCGAATTTCGGGTTGGGGGGTACGGGCTTCCTTATGTTTTTTTGTCCAATGTTCCCCGATCCCCCCCCCACTGGAAATAGAGGACAAATCGGGGCCTTCCGACTGGGTTGGGGTGGTTTGGTGGGCGGTGAGAAATACCCACTTTCAACGACCAGCGTGTGCGTGTAGCCGAACGTCGGGGACGCACTGACCCAGGTCAATGCAAACCCGGGTCAATCAGGTCTTGCAGGACCCTGCAAGATCCCGCGGGATCCTGCAGGATCCTGCGCCCAAGCCCAGGCCACTGCACCCCTGGCCCTGCAGCCTCCTGCAAGGTCCAGCGCTCTGACTGACCCCCGCTTCCCTTGACCCCCGTCCCTGGAGCTCCGAGAGCTGGAAAGGCGTGCGGCCGCGTGTGTATCCGGCTCCCGCCCAGGCCGACCGCGTCCTTTGAGCAGGGGCCGACCGTCCCAGCGCTCCTCTCGGCCTGCCACGGCGTGTTCTTCGAGCCCAAAGCTGCTCGAACAATTAATACAAAAGTTCTTAAAACGTTTTTTTTTTGTCTTCCGTACAGACAACACCATGAGCAACTGCCTCGTCAAGGATGGGTCGCCAAAATGCGGCGGCCAGTCGAGGTGACGAGGCTGAACATACGCTGTGAAAGATGAGTGCTACAGACCGCTGGCAGCAAAGGAAATAAGAAGGGGAGTGGGAGAGGAGGACGCGAAGCCGGTGCACCGAAGCAAGACAGGCCAGAGGGCGCCCGGCCTCTGAAGGTGTCCCCGTTCTTGAAGTGCACGGCGCCCTCCCCGTGGGCGTTGCCGCTCGCCTCGGCGGGCCCGCCGCGCGCGGAGCGGTGGCTTCGGGAGGCGCAAAGGGGGCGAAGGGTCGTTGCGCGGTGCGTGGCGCGGTCGTGCCGCGGAGACCTGGGGAGGAATAAAAGCCCTTGGGACGAGAAGCCGGGGAGAGGAGGGGAGGGGGCGACGGCGGGGGGGAGGAGGAGGAGGAGGAGGAGGAGGAGGAGGAGGAGGAGGAGGAGGAGGAGGAGGAGGAGGAGGAGGGATGTATCAGCATCACAGAAGCCCTGGCTGCCGTCTGCATGCAGACGACCTCCAGGGCCCAGATGTCATGGTCTTGGCGGGCCACGCTCCCCGACGCCTCCGCGACCGGGGTCTCCGACGCAGTCGAGGCATACGGTGTAGCGGCACCGCGCGCACCACCTCGTGGCCGTCCGCTTGGCGAATGCTCTCGAGCACCACTCGCAGACGAAGGCGAACGGCGGGCGGCGGAGGAGCACGAGTTCGTGCCGAGCGGGGCACAGGCTCACGCCGAGCGAGCAGTCCTCGCCCACCTCCACCGGCTCCACCACGCCGCTCTCGAAGGCCAGATCCGAGTTATGACCTGGTCCTCCTGGACAGTGACCCCCTGATCTGACGAGCAAGCCCGCCCGCCACTGCCAGACCCCCAGGCCACGATGTCCTCCGCACGCACGATACCGTCGTGGAGCCTGTCCGCAACGACGCCCCTCTCCACGGCCATCGCGCAGTTCTCCTCGTGCACGACGACGATCGGGGCCTCGCCGCGGCACGCGGGCGCATTGTCCACGATGGCTGCGCAGTCCTGGCCGCACTCACCAACACCCGCACCGTCGGCGGGCACGTTACCGAGAAGGCCACCTTCGACAGCGCCGGCCACCGCGGCGGGCTCCAGGACACTCTTCCTGCTGCAGCTCCGGCTCCTGCCCCTGCACCGCGGGCCGCCCTTCTCGGGCTCGACGGCCCACTGGGCCACACCGCCGCGAGCAGACGGCCGTAACTTCTCCAGAAGGGCATCGACGTCGCACGCCCAACCCCAGCCGCAAGGCCACGACGGCGCCTCCTTCCTGAGCTCCTTCACGGGCGAGGCCGCAGCGACAGGCCGCGGGGCCGAGGTTGCGGGGGTGCAGGGGGCGGCTGCCGAGGCAACGCCGTCGAGCCGCGGGCCCACTGCTGCCCCAGCGATGTCGTCGGCGTGGGCGAACCCGCCAAGCGGAACCTCGGCGGCATGCCAGGCCGCGCTGCGGCGCCGCCGCAGCCTCCCTGGGACGCGGCGCCCCGCTGCCCGAAGCTGCAGCACGGGGCGAGCCGCGGCCTCGCGGTCGCGCCAAGAGCCAGGAATGCCAGCGCCGCCGCCACGAAGAGCACGCAGGGCGGCTTCGCAAGCCTGCCGGCGTCGGCGCCGCGCGGCGCGCCGCGCTGCAGAGGGGCCGAGGGTGGCCGAGGGTGAAGGGTCTCCTCGGCACACGGAGAGAACAAGGCCGCCACGCCGTCGGGCCGCCCCCCGTGGCCATCACCCGCGCCGAAAGCCCCGCTCCCCCCCCAAATCCCCCACGCCCTCCGCGTTGCCCCGTTCAGCGGGGGTCGCATGGCACGCCGGGGGACAAGGTCCAGGGGCAGGGGGCCTACCGAAAGGCCAGAGCCAAAACGGCCATGGAGGAGGAGAAGGAGGAGGAGGAGGAGGAGGGCAGGAGAGGAGAGGAGGGGATGAGGAGGGGAGGAGGGGAGAGGAGGGGAGGAGAGGAAGGGGAGAGAGGAGGGGAGGAGGGGAGAGGAGGGGAGGAAGGGAGAGGAGGGGAGGAGGGGAGAGGAGGAAAGGGAAGGGAGGGTCCGCGGTCAGCGGGGAGGTGGGGGCGGGAGGGAGGGAATGCAGGGGGCGCGAGAGCGGGGGCCACGACCGGCTTCTGAACAGTTTATATGCGGTCTGAGGCGTAGATCGGGAGCGAAGCTCTTCCCCCCCCCCCCAAAGAAAAAAAAAACACCTGCGTGCACGAGGAGGGCTACAGTCGGCCAGTAAAAGAAGGATGTGCGGGAAGGATGCAAGGGCCTTGGACGCCCATTTCGAGGCGTTCGAGCGGGGCGCGGCCAACGAAAGTGGCCAAGACTGGACCGAGGAGACAAGGATGCAAGGGTCCCCTTGGGAAGGTTGCCCGTCCTTACTGTGCGGGTCGACGGTAGATCAGGAGCGAAGCTCTTCTTTGGCCCCCCCCAGAGAGCGCCTGCGTGCGCGAGGAGGGCTAGAGCAGCAGCCACGGAAGGACTGCAGGGTCGACGAGCGCGTTCCACGACTCGCAGAGCCGATGCTCGCGAATGGCCTGGATCCGCCGCGGGGGCTTTACGATATATCGCATCGAGGCAACACACATGCTTTTCAGACATTCGCGAGTAGGCACTCTGCGAGCAGTGGAGCGCGCTCGGTGATGAGGAACATCGAGCTCCTTCCGAGCCCAAGCTGTTCCTCCATTTCAGGGTCTTGGCTATGTGATGTTGGAATCTCCGATCCCTCGGGATATTCCTGATTTGAATGGGCAGGCGGCTCCTGCGCTCCCGCGGAGTACAGTCGGACCTAGGCCGGAACAACATCCTTCCAGAACACGAGATCCTCCGTCGGCCAAAACACGCAGAACATCCAAGGGCACCCTCCCCGAACCAACCCCGATCTTATACCTCGGTCCGACTGTAATTCGGGCCTCCCTGACGTCGCTGACCCACCGGGCCAGAGGCGTGCTGAGATCTCCAGTAACAAGATGTGATGGTTGAACTTCGCGCGCGCGCCTGACGGCCCCTGGTGGTCCCAGAGTCCGAAAAGCATTCCGGGCGGACCCCGGGCGGTGGTCCTCAAGGATGCCGGAATGCCTGGGAGAAGTCGGGATCCCTGGGTGGCAGGCTCCACGGTGGCCTCCATACGCTCCCAAAAAGGCTTCAAGATAGCCTCCAAGGTTGTGCAATGCAGCACCAAGAGGTCTCTCCCAAAGGCCAGAATTCATGTGTAGCATGGCTTTCTGGACATAATTTCGCGTCATCGCCTTTTCAGTCTTCGACCGCCCAACACGGCCCATTCAGCCCCCAAGCTTGCCACAATTCAGGCCGAGAGGCCCCGAGGACGGCCAAGAGACGGCCCAAAGACTGCCCCAGAGGCCTCCCGAGAAGCCTCCAAAACCCACCAATGGTCCTCCTCCTCCTCCTCCTTCTCCTCCTTCTCCTCCTCCCTCCTCCCTCCTCCCTCCTCCTTCCCTCCTCCTTCCCTCCCTCCTCCCTCCGAAGAGGAGGGACCTGAACTGAAATTTCGACTCCTTTCCCGACAGATGGGCTCCCATACCACCAGCAAGCCCCCAAGAGGGGCCCAAGAGGCCTTCAAGAGGCCCCCGAGAGGCCCCCAGAGGCTCCCAAGATCCCCAAGACTCCCCCGAGAGGCCCCAGAGGCTCCAAAGGCCCTGCGAGGCTCCAAGCATGCTCCCGCGAGCACACAGGCAAGTGCCAACGATGCTACAGTGAGCCCCCAAGAGGCTCCCAAGACGGCCCAAGAGGGTTTAAACGGGAGTCCAAGAAGGTCACAAGAGGTGGAGAACGAACAACCACTTCGAGCCCTCTGCCCCGAAACGCACATGACTGCTAACGACGATCACCCATCAACGCTGCGCTGGCAACGAACACGCAGGTAAACGTCCGCGATGGAATAGTCTGGGCCGGCGGAATGAGCGAAGTGATTCAATTCGGCGGATCCCCTGAGGGCCCACGCCGTGTTGTAGGCTTCGAGGGTAGATGGTGAAGTGATGATGACCTGGAGGAGGGTGAAAAACATGCGTACGGCATGCTCAGAGGGGCTTCACGGATTCCGCCGGCCGATCTTAATAATTCTCCTGCGCGCACGTAAAAATGCAAATGGCGCTAGGCCCACTCGCATGGCAGCCTCTGGAGCACGTAGAAACATGAGTGAGATGCGCCCTCAGGGCTGCGAAAGTATCGTCTCGGCACGCCCCTCACCCCTTTGCTGTCTGACATTATTCTGGGACGTGAAATAATACGAGTGAGCAGCGCTTTCAGGGCTGCGACGCTGCCATTTCCGGACACCCCTCACGCATGTGCTGTTCCACACCCGACGGGAACACGTGAAATCACGAGCGATCTGCGCTCCGAGGGTCACGGACGGGCAATTCTAGACGCCCCTCACGCATTTCCTGCCCTGCACTCTGCTGGGACACGTGAAAGCACTGGTGATCTGCGCTCTCAGCCTCCTGGGACACGTTGCAGACATCTGATGGTTTGGGTATCGAGGCTCCTGGGAGACGTACGGATACGAGTGAATTGCCAGTACACGTCGGTCGGAAGAAATAGGTAAAAGCATGAAGTAGGAAGGCGGATTAAGTTGATGGGGTCCAGGCCCCCCCGGAGAAACACAAAACACAGCAAAAGCGTGTCGATTCTTGAAGTAGGAAGGCGCTTGAAGTAGATTGGGATCTGGGAATCCAAAAATACCAACTTTCAACGTCCGGCGTGTATGTCCGAATGGGAACCTCAATTGGAAACGCCCCTCACACGCACCTCGTGAACGCTGGGCGAGCAGCTGGCCCCCGAGACGGCTCTTCGGCGCTTCAACTCGGCAACACCCCTCACGCACGCCGTGCCCCGTGGACCTCCAAAGGCCCTTGGCTGGCCTCCGAGGCCGCCAAATCCCCCTAAGGGGCGCAAACAGGGCTGAACCCAAACGGTGTTTTTCGTTTTCGTTTTGTTTTCGTGTTCCCTCGCTCTGTCTCCAATCCGCCTCTACCGCGAAGCGAAGCCGCAGCGAAAACGGCCCACGAAATCACCAGAAGCACCGTTCAGGTCCAGCCCTGGGGCGCAGACACGCCCCCAGCAGACACTGCAACGACTGGCACCGACCCTCATGGAGACAATGTCCCTGACACACCCACTGGTTGCACAACCTTCAGGGGGACGTAAGACCTGGGTACAGTGGACTCGGAAATCCCCGACGAGGTCGTCAAAAAAATGACGAGGCCGAGCCTGCATTTTGACGAGGTCTCCCGCTGCAGACATCCCACGAAACTCCTCCTCGTCAAAATCCGAGGCGCGGTCGTCAAAGAACGATGGCGAACCCGAGTCCTGGCAAACCCGGGTCTTACGCTCCCCCGAATGGAGACAGTGTCCCTGACACACCCACTGGTTGCACAACCTGCACGCGAGCTTCCCCCCCGGGAGCCCGCCGTGACGCCCGCTCTGCGGCCTCCGTGCGGCGGGCCCCCTGCGGGCCCACGCCGTGCTGCAGGCTTCGAGGGCAGACGGTGCAGTGCTGGTGACAGGAAGGAGAGCGAGAAGCACGCACCGTGCAGTGCTGACGTGCGAGAGAAAGAAGCGAGCAAGAAGAGGCTCAAACATGGAGGAGCGCGAGAAGCATGCACCGTGCAGTGCTGACGTGCGAGAGAAAAAAGCAAGCAAGAAGAGACTTCAACATGGAGGAGAGCGAGAAGCACGCGTCATGCGTGCTGACAGGGGCTTCGCGGATTCCGCCGGCGACCCCGAACCCCAACGCGTCGTTGCTAAACACAGGCGGCGCGGCCGCACTTCGAGGACCTCGCAGAAGTCCTTCGCCGCGGCGCAAGGGGACCGGCACTGAAATCACCATTTTATGCAGTCGGACTTGATTGGACAGGACGCGCGAGAGGACACAAGACCCTTCCAAGGGCCACACCGCCGTAGGAATGTCGGAGGCATGGGTCGCGAGACACAGGACACAAGGGTACTCTTGATTTGGGAGGGTCGACCTACGAATCAGGGCCGACTAGACCGAAGCGAAACACGCTCCTAAATCTCGACAGACACAGTAAGAGTGCCCACGACCAGGGCCGCGACCTCCCCGCGGCGAGGCGCGCCCAGCACGCCGCGGGCCCAGCGCCCGCCACCCGCCGCGGAAGCCGCCCCGCGACTGCAGAGGACACGAGGCGCGATGCGCAGGCCACGAGGGCACACCTGCTGGCGCAGGCCCTACCTAACCACGCTCGGGAGCGGTCAAGAGGGGGGCGTCCAAGAGGGGGGGTGCAAATCATGACCGGCGGGCGGCATGTGCGCGGCCCAGCGGGGGGGCCAGGGGCGTAACGAAACAAGAAGAGGCGCCGTGAAATCTGGGGAGATATCATGGCCCACGCCATGATATCCACACCCCCCTAGTCATCACCCCCCTCTTTTCCGCCCCCGATATGCTGATCACCGCCGACTGCAAAAGTCAAGGCTTCCTCAGGGACACGGGCCGGAACCGGGACTGGGCTCCTCGGAATCCCCACAAGGGGCTCCTCGGGGGACCGGGACCTAGGGATTCCTACGGATCTCTCCTGCTTCCAGCGATGTCCACAAAGGACTCCTCAGGATTCTCAGGAATCCCTGAAGATTCCTGCGGTTTCCCACGATTTTTTTGAGATTCTTGAGAATGCCTCAAGATCCCGTTTTTCAATGATTCGGGGCCCAGGCCAGGACTGTGACCGAATACGGACCCATTGGGATAAAGACCATCGATTCTTCAGGGATCCGGACCGGGACTGGGACCGGACTCCTCGAGATTCGACTCCCTGAAACATGTGGAACAAGACCGAGCCCTAAGGGATTCCTATGGATTCATTGGGAATTCCAAGAATTCCCAAAAAGATTCCAAAGGATTCCTCAGGATTCCTGGGAATGCGTGAGGATGACTGAGAATTCCAGAGAGTTCTTTGAGATTCCTCAGATTTCCTAAGGTTCCTTAGCGATTCCCAGAGGTTTCCTCAAGGACCCAGACTGGGACCAAGACTGGACGCGGACTCCCAGACTGGGACCCAAACCACAGACCGGGACTGGGACCGGACCCGGACCCCTCGGGATTCTTCAGGACTCATGGGGCCCAGACCAGGATCGGACCCAGACTCATCGAGGTTCCTAAAGATTCCTCAAAAGATCGAGACGGGACCGGGGCTTGAGGACTCGTGGGGATTCCACAGGGTTCCCCAGGATTCCCTAGGATTCTCAAGGATTCCCCAGGATTCCCCAAAGGTTTCTAAGATCGACGAGGTGAACGGATGATGGAGAGAGGAGGGGGAATGATGCAGGGAGGGAGGGAAGGAGGGAGGGAGGGGAGGGAGGTGGAGGAGTAGGAGGAGGACGAGGAGCAGAAAGGAGGAGAATAAGGAGGAGGAGGAGGACGAGGAGGAGGACGAGGAGGAGGACGGATGAGGAGGGAGGAGGAGAACAAGGAGGAGGAGGACGAGGAGGAGGAGGAGGACGGATAAGAATGAGGTGGACGGATGAGAAATATGAGGATGCAGGAGGGCGGATGAGGATGGGGTGGATGAGGGAGGGAGGAAGGGAGGCCGAGGAGGACGAGAGGGACGAGGAGGAGTACGAGGAGGAGGAGGAGGAGGAGGAGGAGGAGGAGCAGGAGGAGGACGGGAGGACGAGGAGGAATGAGGAGGAGGAGGAGAGGAGGAGGAGGAGGAGGAGGAGGAGGGAGGAGGAGGAGGACGAGGAGGAGGACGAGGAGGAGGAGAGGGGAGGAGGAGGAGGAAGAGGGATGAGGAGAAGAGGAGGAGGACGGGAGGAGGACGACGAAGAGAAGGAAGAGCGGAGGCCGAGCCCGACTGGAGACAGCGAGGCACATCTGGGGACTGCCGAGCTCGACCTTCTTCCGCCCTGCGCGTGCCGACGTCCTCCCAACGAGCCGACCCTCGGCACGAACGGAACGAGTCCCAGAGGACCTCCTCCTCCCTCCTCCCTCCTCCTCCTCCTCCTCCTCCTCCTGCCTCCTCCTCCTCCTCCTCCTCTCCTCCTCCCCTCCTCCCTCCTCCCAGGGGGCCTGGCCAGCCCCCCCCCCCCCCCGGAGGCCGAGCGCGGCCTCCCAGACCCCCTCGCGTCGCGCTTCCTGCACGACGCCAGGGGGCCTGGGGCCGCTTCCTGGGTCTCCTCCCTTTCCCTCCTCCTCCTCCTCCTCTCCTACCCTCCTCCTCCCCTCCTCCTCCTCTCCTCCCCTCCTCCTCCTCCTCCGCCTTCCATCCCGAACTGACTGTTGACAGTCCTGGGGCCCGTGTATGGCCCAAGGAGGCCCACCGCGGAGACAAAAACTCCAGCACCCCGCTTCCCTCAGGACCCCTCTCTGAAGGGGCCCTGGGACACGCAAATAGATACACACACAAATAGCAGGATTCCCAATTGTCTCCTGTATTTTCTGGGTCTTTGTCTTCCCCCCCACTTCCCATACCTTCCCATACTTTCCTGGGGATCGACGATGAATTGTGTCTGTGTGTTTTTTCTCCCCTCCTGACTCTCGTCGGGTCGGGCGAAAGGGGGGGATAGCAAAGGGGGGGGTTTGAGAATCAGCTCACGTAGCTGATTTTCCCGGCGCCTCCCGGCGCCGGAGGCGGCTATGTATCGAGGAATGGGCCCCTCGGTGAAGCCGAAATCAGCTGCATGCAGCAAATTTCGTAACCCCCCCTTTCCCTCAGGACCCCTCTCTGAAGGGGCCCTGGGACACGCAAATAGATACACACAAAGGACAGGATTCCCAATATTTTCCTGCCTGTTCTGGGTCTTTTGTCTCCCCCCCCACTTCCCATACCTTCCCATACTTTCCTGGGGATCGACGATTCATTGTGTCTGTGTGTTTTTTCCCCTCCTGACTCTCGTCCATGGCGGTGGCGCCGCGAGCACCCGCTTCCCTCAGGTCGGGAGGGGAAAAACACACACGGGAAGTGGGGGGGAAGACGAAAATCCAGAACATATGGGAAACTGTGGGGCATCCCGTTCTATGTGTGTATTTGCTTGCGTGTCCCAGGGCCCCTTCATCAGGACCCCTCTCGTCCATGGCGGTGGCGCCGCGAGCACCCTCCCTCGCCGGCGGCGCGCTCCCCTCTTCCCGGGCGGCCCGCTCTCGTCGGGGGCCTGCCGAGGGCGCCCCCGGCCAGGGGCGCCCCCCGCACTTCGCGCTCCTCTTCGGGAGCCCCCGGGAGGCCCTCGGGGCCTCGGGAGGGGTGCCCTGGAGGCCGCGGGGGCCTCCTTGGGGATCCTGGGGGCGCCTTGGGCCCGGGGCACTTCCTCCTCCTCCTCCTCCTCTCCTCCTCCTCCTCCTCCTCCTCCTCCTCCTCCTCCTCCTCATCCGCCCGATCTCGGGAAGCTGCGGTCTCTGGCCCACTGGCCCTCGAAGACCCCGTCCGCGAAGAGGAGCGTTCCGTGCCTCGGGCAACGCGCGGGCGCGGCTATGGTTAAGTCGGGCCTGTCCCTTTACAGGAGGGATATTCCCAAATAGTCAAACAATAATATGGGGACGATTGTTTGAGCATTTTTTCAAAATATGTTTAAAACATTGTTTTTTCGCACAAAACCCCCCTGTGGGGGGACATGCCCGACCTAAGGCTACGGCCCGCGCGACCGACATCCCGGGAGGCCTGGATCCAAACATGTTGACGCACCTTGGCGGCACCAGGAACGTTCCAGAGGGGCTCGCCCCGATACCCCCTGACGGTGATCAAAGTGGCTGCCGTCTCGCCTGTTACTTCCCCCCAGCTTCGGGGAGCAACTGACCAAGGTCCATCCACACCCGGGGATCCTGCAGGATCCTGCGCCCAAGCCCGGGTCGATGCAACCCTGGCTCTGCACCATCCTGCAAGATCCGGCGCTCTGGCTGACCCCTGTTTGCGCTGACCCCCCGTGTCTTGTCGATGACTCAAAGATGGGGTCCTGGGAGGATGAGGAGGAGGCGGAGGAGGCGGAGGAGGAGGAGGAGGAGGAGGAGGGATGGGGTCCCAGGGACGAGGTGCCTCAAACGACGTAAGTCCGCCGTTGGATCCCTTCCTGTCCTGAGGTCCCCATCCCTCGGGGGCCCATCTTGGAACCACCGATCTTGAGCCCTGGCGGCCTTCCGCCGTCCTTCCGCCGGAGGACCCACCGACGTTGTGTTGGGTCGGGCATCTCCCCCTGCAGGCGGATGTCGGGGGAAAAACTAATCAGATCCCAAAAAGATTCCCAAATGATGAAAACATGCCTACGAACATCGTCCCCAGACGATGTCTTGGCTATTTCTGCACGCGCCTCCTGTAGAGGGACAGGCCCGACTCCGCCGCTGTGCTTCCGCCAGCCCTGCCGCCCCTGGCGAGGTGCGCCGGGGGCGAGGCCCTCGCTGGAGCGCCCTGCGCCCAGGGCTCGGCCGGGGGACGCCGGGCGGGGCGAGCCGGCCTGCGCCACGAGAGGGCGGCCCAACCCGTAACTATCACGAGGATGCGCGGCAGGGCCTCGGAGAGGCCATGCGAAGGCATTTCGAACGAGGCTGGCCAGCGAAAGCCGCCAAGGATGGGCCGAAGGGGCGGGGATGCCAGGGTGCCCTTGGGAAGGTTGCCCATCCGTGCGATGCGGGTTGACTGCATGTGCACAGACATCTGCCGACGAGTGATCCTTCGGCCTTCGAGGGGGGGGTGACGGAGTTTCAAGCCGCTGGCTCGGAATGGCGGTTTAGACACTGCCACCCTCCCCAAGAGGCCTTCGAGCAGTCCACTGGAGGGCGCCTGTGTACGCATGTCTGTGGCGGACGGCCCGCCCCGCCATATTCTTCTCACTCGGAAATTCTATCGGCATTCGGCATTCTTCTGGTCAGGCGGACTGCACAAGTGATACACGCGCCTGGGATGTGGACCAAATTGCATCACCTGCGCAGATACTGCAACACCCGTCATTTTGAGAGATGCTCGCGTCGTCTGTCGTGAGGATCAGAACACCCACGCGTGGCTCTCCGGCTGCTGGGCAGAGATCAAAGTTGCAGCAATGTCCAAGATCACAGGATGAGAGAACACAGCCGTGCTCGGTGCTCCCAATCCGCCACCGTGCCTGCACAGAGCGGGCGCGTCAGAACGCTTGCTTGTTGTCTGCGAGGCCTCTGAAATCTTTTTGGGCCGACCCCCCCGTCCCCGCACGCACCCTTCGGAAACCGCCCCCTCTGACATTGCTTTCTGGTTGTCTCGTCGACTTCCAGACGGCCAAGATAGCCTCCAAGAGGGCGACGACGACAAAGCGACTCGAGATGGCCTATGATAGTTCAAGAGCTTCTCAAGGCAGCCTCAAGACTGCCCAAGAGGCCCCCAAAATGGCCCAAAAGGACCCCAAGAGGCCCAAGACGGCCCAAGAAACTCCAAGAGGCCTTCCCGGACAGCCCGAACGGGTCAAGCCCAATGGTTCTACTTAGGTGTTTAAAGGATGTTGAAGTTCTCGTCTGTTCGGGTTTCCTATCGCCAACGACGGCCCAAGAAGCCCCCAAGATGCTTCCAAGATAGGTCCACGACAGCCCAAGGCTCCCAAGAGGGCCCCAAGTCGGCTCAAGAGGACCCAAAGATCGTTCACGGGGCTCCCCAAAGGGCTCCTAAGACGGCCTTGAAGCGCCACAATAAAACAATATAGGACGGCCCAGAGAGGCCTCTTGGGCTGTCTCAGGCGGTCGGAAACCCGAAGGTCCCAGAACCTCAGCATCCTTTACAAACCGAAACAAATCAATACTGTGGGCTCCCTCGGGCTCTCCTGGAGGGCCTCTTGGAAACCAATTGGGCCGTCTTGGGGGCCTCTTGATCTGTCTTGGGGCCTTCTTGGGAACCCAGTTGCCTCCAAGACTGGTTCCACAAAACAGTCAAGGCGACATCGAAACAGCTCAACAGGGCCCCAGACATATTAAAAGCCCTTTGAAGACAGCCTCAAGACAGACCAATGAGTCCCCAAGACGGCCCAAGAGGGCTCAAGAGGCCCCCCTGGAGAGCCCGAGGAGGCCAACACCATTGACTGTCGTTCGGTTCTTGGGGGATTTTTGGGTCCTCGCCCGTTCGGGTTTCCGGCCGCCCAAGACGGGCCAGGAAGCCTCCACTCGGCCTCCAAGGTAGCTCTAAGACGACCCAAGCGACCCCCCAAAATGGCCCGAAGTCGTCCCAACGAGGGCCACAACTCGCCCAGTGGGCCCCCAAAAGGGCCCCAAGACGGCCGTGAACCGCTCCGAGGGGTCGCCAGCACGGCGCAGAAGGACCCAAGCCGGCCCCGCTGGTTCGGGCTCCTGGGAGGTCCCGCGGAGCGGAGGGCCACGCAGACCCAGCCAAGACCTCGCGGCCCCCCGCGCGCGGAGTGCCTCCTGCGGAGGGCGGGTTCTTCCACATGCTCGTCCCTGTGGAGAGGAACGCCGAAGGGTATAATTTCGATCCGCGGTACATCAAATCCCGACTGCTTCCCCGGGGGATCCTTTTGTTGATGGCCCAGAGGCCCGACAGGGGCCCCCGCGAGGACCGGGATCAGGCAAATACCCCGCCGGTTGAAAGAATTAGCCTGGCGAAGGACCCAACCATATGCAGTTGTGGGCACCGTCGTTGTATACACCGCTTTCGGTGGAGCTCCCTATGGGGCCACGCATCGCGTGACGGGTGTGCTAGAATGGGCACGGTGGGCGCATGCGAGCGCTGGTATCTGGGCCTTCGGTGAAGCTCCCTGTGGGGCCACGAAACGTGCGAGGAGTGTCCAAAAATGGGCGCGGAGGGCGCAAACGAGCGCTGGCATGTGGGCCTTCGGTGGAGCTCCCTGTGGGGCCACAGAAGGTGTAAGCGGTGTGCTAAAAATGAGCGCGGTGGGCGCATGCGAGCGCTGGCGTTTGGGCCTTCGGTGGAGCTCCTCGTGGGGCAACGAAACGTGTGAGGGGTGTGCCAAAATGAATGCGGTGGGCGCATGCGAGCGCTGGCGGTTGCGCCTTCGATGGAGCTCCCTATGGGGCCACGAAGCGTGTGAGGGGTGTGCTAAAATGGGCACGGTGGGTGCATGCGAGCGCTGGCATTTGGGCCTGCGGTGGGGCTCCCTGTGGGGCCACGGGACGTGTGAGGAGTGTGCCAAAAATCAGCGCGGCGGGCGTATGCGAGCGCTGGCGATTGGGCCTTCGGTGGGGCTCCTTGTGGGGCCACGAAACGTGTGAGGGGTGTATATACAAGACTGCAGTGGCGCTGCGCGCCATGCACCTTGGTCCTGTAGAATTTCGCACGTCAGCGGGGTGCGTGCGTGCGTACATGCGCACACACATGCGCCTATGGGAATATACTACATATGTACATATAGATATACGCATGTATGGGTATGTACATGCATTTGCAAATGGTCTGTGTAACTATGTGTGCGCATGCACATGCGCATCTCAGGCGGTAGTGCCCCTCAGGAGCCCGCGACACCCCGAAGACGGCCCAAATGACGTCTATGAGGGCTCCTCCGCTCCCTCCTCCTCCTCATCATCGTCACCACCGTTTGCGGCCTCTTCCTCGTTCTCATCCTCATCATCATCCTCGTCCTCTTTCTCCTCCTCATCATCATCCTCATCCTCCTCCGCCTCATTCTCATCAGCCTCATCATCATCATCAGCGCCAGCATCAGCATCATCATCACCACCACCGCCACCATCGTCATCATCGTCACCACGATCATCATTAGCAGCACCATCTTCATCAACATCGTCGTCGTCATCATCAGCATCATCATCCTCAGCATAATCATCCACATCCCGTACACAGTAACCTCATTAGCAGCAGCGTCGTCGTCGTCGTCATAGCACCATCGCCATCGTTACCACCACCATCGCCAGAATGAGCATGGTTACAATCACTATGATAAATGCAAATCGCTCTCGTTCGCCACACTATCCATCCTCGTCCCATCCTCGCCATCGTCATCTCAATCATCGTCATCGTCCAACCGTCGTCATCGTCAAAACAAAAAAAAAAAAGTCAAAAAAAAAAAAAAAAAAAAAAAAAAAAAAAAACCCCCCCACCCCAAAAAAAAAACAACAATAAAAAAAAAAAAAAAAAGAAAAAAAAACAAACAAAAAAAAAAAAAAAAACAAAACGAAACCATCCAACCATCAAAAGACGTCCACTCATCACAAAAAAAAAAAAAACAAAAAAACCAAAACACAAAACACAAAACCAAAATTAGATAAAAACAAAAAAAAAAAAAAAAAAAAAACAACAAAAAAACAACAAACTAACCAAAACAAAAAAAAAAAAAACGAACAACAAAACAAACCAAACCAAACACAAAAGACAAAACCAAAAAAAAAAAAACAACACCACCACCAAAAACAACGTCAAAATCATCAAAGAAACAAACAAAAACATCGTAGACAACTCGCCAATCATCCTCCTTATCATCGGTTCGAACAACTACCGCCGGTCCTGCGGGG